TCGTGGGGGGCGAAGGGTAGGGTTCGCACGTGGCCCCCTAGTAAGGTTTTCCCACAAGACTGCGGTGCTGGACGCACTGCGGCAGTGCCGGGGACGCCCTGAGGGGGGGAGCGTTCTGAGGGGAGGGGGGGGAGAGGGGGTCACGCGCGTTATGGCCCAGAGGGTTAAAAAAACACTCCCCTTCTGGGGGTCGGCGGCACGGCGTGAGCGCCTCTTGAAGAAAGACCCGGTGGCCACCGAGAGAGAGAGCCGGGGTGCTCCCAGAGGCCAGCGGGAGTTTCCCGACGTCGTCCCCGACCCTGAAGAAAGTCCAGGGATTGAAAAACCGCCCGCCACTGGTAATGTATATGCTCCAGTTTCCGAAAAATATTCTAAATACAAAAACAATGTTCTAAGAGCACCTCGTAGAAACCACAAAAGGTTCTCAGAACATCGTTTGATGGGCCTGTAGGTACGCCAGGACGCTTCGCCACTGCTTGAGTCCAGAGGGGGGGGCGAGGGAACGAAGCAATGCAAGTTCGTGCCGTGTCGACCCCAGCGTTGGTTCCTGACACCGCGGGGATCGTTCGACCGATCGATCGTTTAGGAAACGTCAAATCGTTGAACATCGACCGACTCTGGGTCGCCAGCGGCATTCAATGCTAAGAGCCAGCGGCGGGGTCGCCGCCGGTCGACACGACGCGAACCCACCGCAAGCATACTCTCAGAGGAGGAAAAAGGTACCCATTCCGCTACCCTGCCCTCGATTTCCCCTTTTCTTTTGTCTCGAAATTCTGATAACCTACCAAACCACCCGAACCCAACGCGAAAACCCGAATTTGACCCGAATTTCGGGTTGGGGGGGTACGGTGTCCATGTGTTTTTTCGATGTTCCCCGACCCCCCCCACTGGAAATGGAGGGAAAACTGAAGCCTTCGGGTTGGGTTGGGGTGGTTTGGTGGGTGGTGAAATTCTGGTCAGAACACACCCCAGGAGAGGTCCGGGGAGAACCGACATCGGTACCTTCTGCATACTCGGACTACTGCTGGTGGAAGGTAGCGGGAATGGGTGTAGCAGGAGAGGCCGCCCCCCGTGATCCTCTCTTCCTCCCCCACCTCCTCCATCCGCTTGAGTATGGCTAATTCCTCCGCGTTGCTCTCCCAGGCGTACCGGCAGGGCGAAATCGGCATCTCGCCTGAGGTGTTCGCAAGACGTGTGATCCCGAAGCGGAAGTTCGCGCCAAATACAAGGATGAAGCACAGCTGGCTTTCGAAACTTGGCTATCATCTTAGAGCCGCGCACGCTCGTCCCAAAAATTCGCACGCAAAAGCTAGAACTGCTACGGGCGAGGGGTCTTCGAGATGGCGCTCTCGCCTCCGGCCCGCGCCCTCTCGTCTTCACACATGCCACCAGTTACAAGGATCAGTTTAGAAATGAGGTCTCGACAAAGCGCCGCGCACATTCGTCTTTAAATATTTCGCCACTTGCAAGGATGGAGGGTGGCTCCTTTTCAAGATGAGGCTCTCGCTTGATCCCCCACCGTGCCTCTGGGCACAGAGTGAGCGTGCTATCAGGTCCTCTGCTGAATCCACTCAGCCTCAATCCTCGCTCCTGAGCCCAAATTGCCAAATCTCCTGGGGGTCCCGCGGGCCCCCTGGGCTTGCTCGCGGCTTGTCGCGTACATGTTTTCCGACCCACGAGGGCCTCAACACGGGCCAAGAGAGCCCCAGAAGGCCCCCAAGACGGTCCAAGAGGGCCCCGAGTCGCCGAACGATCCAAGACGCTCAAGATGGCCTTCCGAGGAGGACCCGAGAGTCCTCCATGACGGCCCAAGAGGCCCCCAAGACGGCCCCAAAGGTCTTCAAGAAGCCTACAATGTATTAGCTTCCCATCGACTGATGAAGGTTTTGGCGCTCTCGCCTTTTCGGCTTCCCGACGCTCCCAGGCAGCCCTAGATGCCCCCAAGATCGCCCAAAGACGGCCCAGGAGGCCCCCAAGAGGGCCCCAAAACGGCCCACGAGGGCCCCAAGACAGCCCGAGAGGCGCCCAAGATGGCCTAAGATGCCAAAAAGACAGCTCCCAAAGTGGGCTGAGATGGGGACCCGAACGGACATGCCGAGCCCTCGGCCCCGAGGGGCCCCCAGAAGGCCCCAAGAGGCCCCCAAGAGGCCCCAACATGCCCCCAAGAGGCCCGACGAGGCCCCCAACAAGCCGCAAGAGGCTCCAAAGTGGCACCAGAATTGCCCCCAAGAAGCCTCCGAAAGCGCTCAGAAGAGACCCCATGAAGCATCCCTGAGAACTCTAACACACAACCCAGGCACGGTGGCAGGATGAGCCGAAGGCCATTCGAGATTTACTTCGATTAACATTAAAATCTTCAGGCACTTGTATGGGGCTCTCGCCTGAGACGTGCTCTCGAAGCTCATGATCAGAAGCGCGAATGAACTTGTCCAAAACCATTTAGATGGGTGTGGCCATGGTTGCAAATGAGGATCTCGCTGGACGTCTCCTTGAACTTTCTGTTCATGCGGTCTTGCGTTCCTTTACCATCCGTCAGAGCGAGGGGAGGCAGGTACTTCTCAAAACGGGGGTGCCGCCTGATGGCAGGCCGATTCCAAGTAGGGAGCAATTCTTTCCAGGGGGGGCTTCCTGTTACGAGAAAAAAACGCTTGCAGGGGCCTGTGCGAGGCCCTCAGAATGATGGTCTGAGGCGGCCCCCCTTCCTGTCATGACAAGGGCGGCTTGTAGGGGCCCAATCGGGAGGGGATTTGGGACGGGAGGGTGACTTGCAGCATCGCTGATGCGTACGGCGGGTTCGCGTCGTGACGACTTCGGCGCTGGCTTCTGACACCTCGTGGATCGTTCAACCTTGAGCGGCCAGCGGCTTCTCGACCGCCAGATCGCCACATCGGCCAGTCCTGGGCCACTGGCGGCGTTCTCAACCTGGAACATCCGCGGCGGGGCAGGCGCCGCGTCGAGACGACACGAAACTACCGTACCGTGTTTACTCATATGTTGCTGTTGGTTGTGGTCGTCGTCGCCGCCGCCGTCGTGGTCGTGGTCGCGGTCATGGTCGTGGTCGTGGTCGTCGTCGTCGTCGTCGTCGTTGTCGCCGCCGCCGCCGCCACCGTCGTCGTCGTCGTCGTCGTCGTGTTCATCGTCGTCGCCGCCAGCGCCGCCGTGGTCGTCGTCGTCGTGGACGTGGTCGTGGTCGTGGTCGTCCTCGCAGTCCTCGTCGTTGTCTTCGCCCTCCTCCCCCTGACACCCCTCTGGGGGCGGCCAATAGGGGGGAGTCCAAGAGGGGGGGGGCGCGAATCATGGCCCGCGGCACGCGCGCGGCCCAAGGGGGAGGAGGCCAGGGGCATGATGCAAGGAGAAGAGGCGCCATGAAATCTGTGGAAACCTCATGGCCCCCGCCGTGATATCCCCCCCCATTAGTTGACTACCTACCAGACTACCCCAACCCAACCCGAAGACCTGAATTTCGGGTTGGGGGGGGTACGGGTTCCACGTGTTTTCCCCATGTCCCCCGACGACCCCCCCCCTACTGGAAACGGAGGGCACATTGAGGCCTCCGGGCTGGGTTGGGATGGCTTGGTGGGTGGTGATCAGTCATCATCCCTCTCTTTGCCGCCCCCGACCCTCGACACCCCCCTCCTGGCCCCCGGGGGCCCCCCCGGGCTGCCGCCCCGCCCCGCGGCAGGGGGGCGCGCCCTGGCACAGGCCGCTCACGGGCACCTGCCCCGGCGGGCGCGCGCAGGACCTCGAGCACTCGAGCGCTCCGAGGACCGAGCGCTCCGAGGACCGAGGGCTCCGAGGGCCGAGCGCTCCGAGGACCGACCTCCTCCTCCCTCCCTCCTCCTCCTCCTCCTCCTCCTCCTCCTCCTCCTCCTCCTCCTCCTCCTCCTCCTCCTCCTCCTCCGCCTCCGCCTCCGCCTCCGCCTCCGCCTCCGCCTCCGCCTCCGCCTCCGCCTCCTCCGAGGACCGAGCGCTCCGAGGACCGAAGCTCGAGGGCCCCATCGGCTCTCCGAGCGCCCTCGGCCTTGCCTCCGCCGCTCGAGGACCCCCTCGGCTCTCCCAGCGCCCTCGGCCTCGCCAACCCGCCCTCCGGCGGCTCCCTTGAGCTCCCGGGGGGCATCTCCGCGCACGCGCGCACACGGCGGCCGCCGAGCCGCTCGGCAGGCGAAGCCCCCGGAGCAAGACGCGAAGAGAGGCCGAGGGCGAGCCGAAGGCCGAAGGGCCGAGGGCCGAAAGCTCTCAGCCTCGCGCCCCGGACGCGAGGCGCCGCGCGTGGCCACGCGCCCTCCGCGCCGCCCGGCGCCGCCCGCCCCCGCAGGGGCCCCGGAGAGATGCAGCTGGCCAGCTGGAGGTGCAGAGCTCCTGGAGAGGGGGAAGCCCTGGCCGGGAGCGCGAGGAGCGAGGGCGCGGGATTATATGTCCCCCTCGCGACCTCTTGGAGGGACGCCCCCGCGGGGGAGAGCTGGGGCCCGGGTCGCGTCCCAGGGCCAGCGCGTCCTCCCGGGTCCTCTCTTGGTAGATCCAAGGGACCAGGGAGGGCCCTCGGAACGGCGACAAGCCGCGGGACCTCTTTCTCTCAGGGCCCCCCTCTGTCCACGCCAGAGAGGGGTGCGGAGGAGGAGGCGGAGGCGGGGGTGGGCGGCGGAAGCCAGCCTCACACTGCCCGTGGGGCAGACACAAAGCCGCCAGTGAGAGGCGACAGGGAAGAGAGGGAAGGGGAGAGTCTGAGAAGGTGAATGAGCGAGGGAGGGAGTGTGACTGAGTGAGTAAGCGAGCGAGGGAGTGGGTGAGTGAGTGGGTGAGCGAGGGGGAAGGAGGGGGAGGGAGAGAGAGAGAGAGAGAGAGAGAGAGAGAGAGAGATATATATATATATAGATATACAGAGAGAGAGAGAGATACAGAGAGAGAGAGAGACACGATCGAGATTGCTCTATTGGAAGCCAGCGTTGCTGGTCCCAGTGACGCGTACTGGCGGTTCAATTGCTGCCTCCTCGCACTGGTGCCTGTGCTCGGCCTTCTTGCACTTCCCGATGAGCTCGGCAGTGCAGGCGAGCGCGCGGATGCGGGGGGCCCTGGCAGGGCGTCACGCAGGAGGGCAAGGAGGGGGATGCACGGGTGTCCAGAGGTCCGTGCTCGGCAGTGCAGGCGAGCGTGCGGATGCGGGGGGCCCTGACAGGGCATCAAGCAGGAGGGCAAGAAGGGGGATGCACGGGTGTCCAGCGAAGGATGCACGAGGACGGGGATGAAGAAGTCCAGCGAGGAGGAGAAAAGAGGACGCGAGAGGTGCTAAGCAGAACCCCACCGCCCTTAAGACGACCGCTCTCGGCTACACGCAAGAGTGACCCTAGGCAAGAGTGACCTTTAGTGCGCGGCCCAAGGGGGCCATTTGGGGACCACGCCAGGCGCGAAAGCCGCTGCTATCGCACTGCATCCAGCGATCGGGCGGGCCCCATTGGGCCCGCACCAAAGGTCACTCCGGCGAAGGGTCACTCTTACATGTAGTCGACGCTCAGACTCTGCACTCCGCCTCCCGCCCGCCCCTGTCCGCGGCGCTGCAGCGAGACCTGTTCTTCCCCCCCTGCCCCTGCAAACGGCGACGGCGACGGCGACGGCGACGGCGACGGCGACGGCGACGGACGAACGCGACGGCGACGGCGACTAGGAGGAGGAGGAGGAGGAGGAGGAGGAGGAGGAGGAGGAGGAGGAGGAGCAGGACGGCGACTGACGACGGACGGCGGACGACGGACGTGACGGCGACGGACGACGGCGACGCTGCAGCAGCCAGCGGGCGCACCGGGCCGCGGCCCTTCACGTAGACGCTGGCCCGGCCCGGGAAGCAGCCGGCACCGCCGCCCTCCTTCCTGGCGCGTGGGCGCGAAGGTCGGGGGTCCCTACACCCGCCTGCTCCTCCTTCCTCAACCCCTCCATCCGCCTCCATCCTTCTCCTCCTCCTCCTCCTCCTCCTCCTCCTCCTCCTCCTCCTCCCTCCTCCTCCAGGTCTTCCTCCTCCAGGTCCTTCCTCCTCCTCCTCCTCCTCCTCCTCCTCCTCTCCTCCTCCTCCCTCCTCGTCCTCCTGGTCCTTCTCCTGGTCCTTCTTCTCCTCCTCCTCTTCCTCCTCCTCCTCCTCCTCCTCCTCCTCTTCCTCGTCCTCCTCCTCGCCCCCTCCTTATCCTCCTCATCGTCCTCCTGATATTCCCCCGCCCCATTCCGGCTTCCTCCTCCATCATTAGCATCGTCATCATCCTCACCACCACCACCACCAGCACCAGCACCAGCACCAACACCACCACCATCACCATCATCATCGTCGGCATCAGCATCAGCATGATAATCAGAATAGGAGTAATAATAATAATAATAATGATAATTATAACATTTACAACAACACTAATAATCATCATCATCATCATCATCATCATCATCATCATCATCATCATCATCATCATCATCATCATCATCATCATCATCATCATCATCATAATCATCATCATCATCATCATCAGCATCATCATCATCATCAGCATCATCATCATCAGCATCACCATCAGCATCATCATCACCACCATCATAATCACCATCAGCATCATCATCCTCATCATCAGCATCATCATCATAATCATCATCATCATCGTCATCATCATCGTCATCATCATCATCGTCAGCATCAGCACCACCATCATCATCATCATCATCATCATCATCATCATCATCATCATCATCATCATCGTCATCATCATCATCAGCATCAGCATCAACATCATCACCATCAGCATCATAATCACCACCATCATCATCATCATCATCATCATCATCGTCATCAGCATCATGACCATCATCATCAGCATCATCATAATCATTATCAGCAAAATCATAAGCATCATCAGCAGCAGCATCATCATTATCATCGTCAGCATCGACATCAGCAGCATCATCAGCAGCATCATGGTAAGCATCATCATCACCACCGTCATCACCATCAGCATCCACAGCATCATCATGTTCGTCAACAAAATCAGCAGGACCACCATCATTATCACCACCATCATCATGGCCATCGTCATCGTCACAAACATCAACATAGTCAGCATCATCTTCATCATCATCAGCATCATCAGCATCGTCGTCATCATCATCACCAGCATCAGCATGATCATCATCATCGTCGTCATCGTCATCATAGTAGTCGCCGTCATCAGCAGCAACAACACAAACGTCATGAGCATCAGCAGTATCATAATCAGCACCATCACCATTATCATCCTCATCAACATCATCACCATAATCATGGACAATATCGTCGAGATCGTCATCGTCACCCTAATGTCCATCAACACCCTTAACACCCTCCACCTCCTCCTCAACACCAACATCATCATCATCAGTATCAGCAGCAGCATCAGCAGCAGAATCGTCAGCAGCAGCATTGTCGGCGGTGCCATCCTGTATGATCGCAATTATCATCATCCTGGTCATAACCATCGCTATAATCAGCATCACCATCATCACCAGCCTCAGCACTGTCATCCTCATCCGAAGCAGCAGCATCATCATCAGTGTCGCCGTCGTAAACTTCGCCACCGTCATCCTCAACGACAATGTCGACATCGACCACAACGACAATGACGAAGAAGACGGCGGCGATGACGCGCAGGCAGAGGCGGAGAATCAAACGCGTGCTGGGGCGACCCATCGCCGTCGCCCGCCTTCTCATCCTTCTTCTCGTCACCCTGGGCGCCGCGCCAGCAAGTTCCACCGCAGACGCGGGTCTATCCCTTCTCCCCCCTCCTCGTGAAGCTGCTCCTCCTGTGGCTCGTCCTCCTCCTCCTCATTTTCCTCATCTTGCTCCTAGCCCTCCCTCCTCCTCTTCAACCAACTCCCCCTTCATCCCCTATGAGCGTCATCATCCTCATCATCATCATCATCATCATCAGCATCATCATTATTATTATTATCAACGTAATCAGCATCATCAGCAGCATCATCACCATCATCATAATCATCGTCAACATCATCATCATCAGCATAATCAGTATCATCAGCATCATCAGCTGATCATCATCCTTATCATCACCATCATCATCACCAACATCGTCATCATCATCATCACAGTACTGTTGCTCCTCCTCCCCCTCACCAATCCTTTCCCGAGCTCAATAGCTACTCCGACTCGGCCACCAGCCGATAGCAGCTCAATCCGAAACTTTCCATCTTGCCCGTCAAAGGAAAACTACTCATTGACAGTTCCCTTCCTGACTACCTACCAGACCACCCCAACCCAACCCGAAGGCCCGAATTTGCCCGAATTTCGGGTTTGGGGGGAAGGGTTCCACATGTTTTTATGTCAGTGTTCCCCGACCGCCCCCACACTGGAAATGGAGGGCAAATCGGGGCCTTCGGGTTCGGTTGGGGTGGTTTGGTGGGCGGTGACTTTCAGCATGGACGCTTTGGCGGCGACGTTTGCGAAAGGCGTGGCGGGAATGTGACGGGGCGCACATTCCCAGAAATGTCGCTCTCGCCTCGGTGCGGCGCCCAAACTTGGTGGGCCTGTGTTCCACCACCACCACCATAAATTGGAGGGGGAGCGGGTCCTCCTCCTCCTCCTCCTTGTCCTCCTCCTCTTCGTCCTCCTCCTCCTCCTCCTTCCCACCTCCAGCTGATGGTGGTGGTGGTGGTGGTGGAAAACAGGCCCATCAGCTCAAACTCCCTGAGGACTGAGCTCCCCTGGTGGGTGCAGCGCACTCCCTCCGCTCGCCGGCTCGTCCACTGCGGGTCGCGCGCGGCCGGACGAAGGGGTTCCTCACGCCTCGGCTCAGACTTCGCCTGAACGTAGCGCTCGCGCCTCAGTCGGTCAGTCATTGGTCGCACAACGACATACTAGTGCTATAGATTCTCCCTGGAGGCGCACGTCCGACCCGAACATATAGTATAACCATCTTGTAGTACATTGTTTTCCGAGCGGTGTGGCCAGAAAGCGCCCGCCACGACGCATATACTATAAGAGTTCTGGGTGCGCGCGTCGCCCCATGGGGGGGGCGACGCACATATAGTATAAGTATGTTGGGGTGACGCCGGAGACATGCCATACGCCGAATTGCGTGGGCGAGGCAAAACGACAGCACGCGCAGGCGCTGAGGCCATCGCTGTGCGGCTGCGGAGGCGCTGCGGGTGAGCTGAGACATGTTTTGCGCTGCCGTCACAGCGCTACAGCCAAAAACCCTAATAAGAACGCGCGGTAAGGACGCAAGACCCTTGGAAGCCGAAGTTGGGATTTTTGGGGCGGTGGACGACGAAAACCCCAAGGACGCAAGAGCAAGGAAGAGCAAGGACGCAAGGATACCCTGAGCAAAGTCGTCCAAAATAAGGGTTTTTGACTGTACGCAAGCGGTCTCGCTCGCCAAGGCGCTGGAGGCGAGGCCGCGCGCCCGTCGCCCTCACCCGAGCTCCCTGCCGTCGCTCGGACGTCCACTCCCGTGCACGTGTCGTCGTCGTGCACGTTTTTTTTTTCGCACGAGGATCACCGATGCGCCTGGATGGGATAGATGTGCTGGCGTTGGCCTTGCCGAACAACGAACATGCACACCTGGCCATCGCTCGGACGTCCATTCCCTGTGCTTTTTGTCGGTTTCGTGCGTGGGTTTCTTGCCAGATGATCAAAGATGCTCCTCGATGGTCCTCGCCGAAGGAACAATGCACACGTCCGAGCGATGCCAAGACACGTCCGAGCAATGCCATGGCTCCGTAGAGGCTGGCAGGTGGCGCTCTCGCCTGGGCAAGGCGCACGCATCGTCTGCGCCGCGCTGCAATCAGAAGATCGACCGCCCGGGTAGGGCTGCATGATGCCGTTCGACGTATTGCCGTCCTCCTCCTCCTCCTCCTCCTCCTTCTCCTCCTCATCCTCCTCCTCCTCCTCCTCCTCACCCTCCTCCTCCTCCTCCTCCTCCTCCTCCTCCTCCTCACCCTCCTCCTCCTCCTCCTCATCCTCCTCACCCTCATCATCAGCATCATCAGCATCATCATCATCATCATCATCATCATCATCATCATCATCATCATCATCATCAGCATCATCAGCATCAGCATCAGCATCATCAGCATCAGCATCATCATCATCATCATCAGCAGCAGCATCATCATCATGATCATCATCAGCAGCAGCATCATCGCCATCATCATCAGCATCATCACCATCACCATCACCATCATCACCATCACCATCATCACCATCACCGTCAGCAACATCATCATCAGCAACACCATCGTCAGATGCATCATCATCAGCCGCATCGTCATGTTCATCAGCTTCATCTGCATCATCGTCATCAGCATCAGCATCGACATCATCATCGACATCATCATCATCATCATCATCATCATCATCAGCATCATCATCATCATCATCATCATCATCATCATCGTGATCATACTCATCATCGTCATCATCATTATCATCAGCATCATCTGAAGCATGATCAATGCTCTCGACGCATCGCCGCGCCGGCCCGATGGTTGGGTCCACGTGACCGGAACCGTCGGAAGCGAGACCCCGCGCGAGCACCTTCCGTTCGCTAGGTGGGAACGCGCACCAGTCAAAGCATCAAGTTGTGCCACCACTGTTTGTTCTCAGAGTGCTCGGGGCCCGCTGACTCACTCGGCCTGGCTACCTTGCCATTAATCCTGCGCCTCTTCCCACCTCTCCACCCTGCCTACCACACCTCAGCACCATCAACAGTAGCACAATAATCGTTTTCATGTTCATCATTATCAGAATCAGCATCATCCTCACCATAACCATCGTCATCCTTCCTTCATTCATTAAGTATTGCCTCCCTTCCTTCAACATCCTTTTCGTCTCGCCATTCTCCCTCCTCCCTCCTCAGCACTCCTCCTCTTCATCATCCACCGCTCCTCCGTTTCCATCCGCCGTTTCCCCTCTATATCACTCCATCCTCCGCATTCCGCCTCAGGCCCTCGCCGCATCACGAGACGTGTCGGCAGGGCGGCATGTCGTTTCGCCAGCGCAGTCCTGGCCGCGAACGATCCTCAAGCTTGATCTTTTCCAACAATTACACGGATGAAGGTAAACATGTGGGTCTTGCTTGAGCGCTGCACAAGTCCGTCCCAGCATTTTTCCACAGCTACCAGGATGGAGGGTTGTTCGTTTTGAAATGTGGCATCGCCGTAGCGCCGCACACATCCGTCTTGGAAACCTCAAGCTGCTACACACCGTGGATATCGCTTTGACGCCGCGCCTATACCTCTGACAGGCTTTCCATAGCTACAAGGATTGGTGGCGGATGGCCTTCCAAATATGCCTTGCACTTCAGCGCCGCGCAAATTCGTGTTAGAAGCTCCCACAACTACAAGGAAGAATGGCGCTTTTCGAAGTATGGTTTACGACTAGATGTACAACACATGTGCCAGCGTTACACGGATGGAAGGCGGCCCCTTGTCAAATAGGGTTGTCCATTGACTGTTTCAACGACTGCAACCAGGAGTGTAGACCCTGCGCGGCATGTGCACAGATGGCAGGTGACTCCTTTTCAATGCGGGGCTATCGCGGGAGTCTCTCCTCTGGGCCTCTCGATTCCCCTCGTACTCCTTGCAGCAAGGAGGCTGCGTGGCGCTCTCCTCCTCCCAAAGCAGGGCTCTCGCCTGAATGGCAGACCCATGGGGAGCTCGTCTGTCAAATGGAGCTGCAGTGAGGCCTCATCGTGGAACGTGTGGCTGCCAGGACACGTGAGGCGAGACGTGGGCCCATTGGGCTGCGATGCCGCGGCACTGGCGCGCATGTTTGCCTCGCGCTGGTTATCCTCATCCTTTCTCTCTTCCTCCGCGTCCTGGTGCTGCTGCCCATGCTGCGCCTCCTCCTCCTCCTCCTCCTCCTTCTCCTCCTCCTCCTCCTCCTCCTCCTCCTCCTGTGTATGGGGTTAGAGTACAAAGGTACAGAACCCCTGATCCGCTGGTAGAGGAAAGGAGGGAAAGATGGACATCTTCTCCTCCTGCACGATCAAAGGTCTGATCGATCTAATCCAATACCTGAGCCCAAACGGCCAGGCGCAGGAGAGGTGAGGATAAGGAGTATATATGAGGGTATTATACGGGTTTTATTCACACCTCCTCCTCCTCCTCCTCCTCCTCCCCCTCCTCCTCCCGACGGCCCCAGGGGGGCGGCGCGGCCGTCCCCGGGGGACCGGGCGGCCAGAGAACGCAGACCGCGGAGGGAGAGGGGCGGCGGGAGAAAGGGCGGCGGGAGGAACGGGGTGGACAGGACAAGACAGGACACCTCGAGCGGACATGGTTGAACCGTCCAGGTGCGAAGGTTATTCGGCGGTGTACAAAACTCCCTGTAGTAAACCTCCCCTTGGTGAAAACGGCCTGGGGCCGAAACCGACGGGCCTGGACCCGCAAAAACGACGGCCGCGACGCCCTCTCGCGAACCGAACACGGCCGACTCACTGATCGATGTGTCAGGGTGGGAGGTCTGTCCACCCCCGAGTTATTAGAAAGCAAACCACCCCCCGCCACACGGCACCAGGATAGAGACCTCCTAGATGGGGTCGAGTAGATGGGGTCGAAGGATCGCGCCGTATCGCCAATGCATCGCCGATGTATCGGCGATGCATCGGCGATGCATCGGCGGTGCATCGGCGACGTCGGCGTGGGAAACACGGGCTCCACATCGAGCCGCATCGGCGATGTATCGGCGATGCGGCGCGATCCTCCGACCCCATCTACTCGGACCCCATCCAGGAGGCCTAGACAGGGGTCCCCAACCACCCAGCCCTCGAGGAAAATATCCGCCTCCGGGGCACGCCCGTCCCCGCGGCACCGCGCCTCGCAGCCCAGCGGCCCGCGCGGGGAGAGGGCGGGGGGAGGACGCAAGGGAGAGGCAGGCGCCGGCGAGCCGCGGCGGCTGCCAGCACAGAGGGAGGGAGGCGGGAGGAAGTGGGAGGAAAAGAGGGACGGGCGGTCGGAAAGGGAAGGGACTGCAGGGCTCGAGTTAAACAGTGTTTTCCGTTTTCGTTTTGTTTTCGTCACCCCTAATGATGTATTCGTTCCACATTTGCTGCAAAACGAAGTCAAAACGAAAACGGTCCACGAAATTGCCAAAACACCGTTTAGCTCGAGCCCTGACGGACAGGGACGGGTACAGGGCGCTTCTTTAAAGGCGCATTACATTGTGTCATGACCTGTGGCAATTCTCCTCCGTGGGGCCCCGACCACACGCGCCTTTCAAGGTGCGGAATGTAAGGCAAGCAGAGGGCCCACCAGACGCCGCAGCACCACAATTCCAGATCGAAGTGGCGCAGGAGTTTGTGGGAGCTGCGAACCCAGACCTTAGCACAATGCATCTCAATTCGGGCAGGCACCTTGACAACGCTTGCGTCGATGGGTTCCAGCTTGCGTCAACGGAGCTACCGCCGACCTTGCTTGAGCCACGACTTCGAACGCATCTGAGATGAACTGGGCCACAGCGCGAAAAACGCGTCACTCCGTTCATTCCGTGGACACTGACGCCGCCCACCCACATGCGGGCCGTCATCGGCAGATTTCTGCGGCAGGCCGCCGAGACGTGACGCGTGCACGGCGGCGGCCAAAATCTAGCTCCATTGCGCAACCCTCGCACAATGGGCTGCGCAGCCTGCAGCGCGCGCGACGTTGAGCCGAGCTGCGCAACGCGCGCGCAGCCGCACGCAGCTGCCGCTCCAGCATCAAAACCAAGGGAGGGAATATCAAATCCAGCGCTGACTCGGCGAGCCCCCCACACACACACCAGCGTGACATTTAAATATTGGATCTCAACGATCACATGCTCATGACGGGCCCTGAGACCACATACTCATCCACCACGGGCTTCGAGAAAAGCTTCGCGCAATGCCACATTCCACCCCCAGCGCCGCGCCCAAGTGCGCTCCCTCGGCAGCAGCCAACGGCATGGCGTGACCTTCTCTGAGTATAGACCAGTTCCCGCACGTTATGCATCACTATCCGATGGTACTGTCACCTGGGACTGCGTGGCAACAGCCGGTCCATGACTATGAGTAATTGGCATGGCCATGTAAACTCTCTCTCGATGAAAATTGGGAGCGCCCGCAAATTCCCGCCGCCGTTCAATCGGCAAACGCCAAACGTTCAGCGGCGTCAAACTGTCAGATCCCAGCCCAACGTGCGGCCACATTCGTTTGAGCGCTATGTCCAGCTCCGGCGCGGTGACCCCAGGCACCGGCGACTTCAGCCCCAAGACGTACGCGGCAAAAGATGCCCACGACCTCGCTGCGATCAACTGCGACGGGCGACATACGATCTGGAAATGCTCTGCCTCTCGATTCACTGCGCTCCGAAGAGAATAAAAACCTATTTGTTCTGCAACAACGACCCATGCGCTCGGGTCTGGTGTTTCTCTGAGACTGCGGAAAAGAATGGGCGGCGCGCACGCGGGCCCAACCCGCTCGCGACACTTTTTGAAAGCACGTCCTCTGGCCCGCATGGGCAGCCTTGCTGCTGACGCATCTGCCGCTATTGAAACACTGTATATGATGCCTTGAAAACACATGACACACCTTTCACGCACGCGCCCCAAGCCGGGCACGAGTCGCGCACCACCACGCGCGCACCCTTTGGGATGCAAGCGCGGAACCGCCAGCATGCGCGCAACGTGGCCTGCCGCTGCATCTCGCTGTCGCCCTCGACTCGACGCCCGCGAAGCCGCTCCGAAGCCGCGCGCGCCTGCTGCCGCCGGCTGGCGGCTGCGAACCATGCTCTATATACAGCGATGGTCGGGCACTTCGACCATGAGAAAATTGGCAACGGAAAAAATCACCAAGCAGCCCCCGTTGCACGGGGCTCGCACCCCTGGGAATTTGAGCCGCGATCCTCACCGCGACCGCCGCGATGACGCAACACTGGGTGATCGATGGTCACTGCCCAGCAGGCAAGCGGCGACGAAACCGCCAAAACGCCTGGGCCACCGGCCGACCAGACAACGGGCTGATCCAATCCGTTCGCCATGATGGACCCACGTCTCACCTGGAATTTGAAAATCAAGACCTAGAAATCGCCCCTGACAGCCCACGCCTTTGGACGCGGCGCCCACGCTACGCCCTGGCGCTGGGGGGGGCCCGGCCAGCGCAATTCCCCACTTCGGGCCGCGAGGCCACGCTGGAACCTGGCGCCGAGAGCCAGGGCGGAGGCCGCGGGGCCCTCATGGGGTCGGCGTTGAAAATCCAGCGTTTGCGCCCAAGGGCCCCCCCACCCCCGCCCCCAGAAAACCGCCCGCGCCGAGTCCTGGATCCTCGGCGCCGCCCTGCAAGACAAAAACCGACGCCGGCGCCGACTCCTGCACCTCGGACGGGCTAGCTTCTTGAAGTAGTGACCCGTGACCCATATTACATAATCCTACGATTTTTACCTTCACTGCGTGATGCCTGCAACCTGACTTCGGACGTGGAAGATATGGATCCTCAAATTGGTGCGAATCCCGCCCGGCTAACTGAGGGCAACCTAGCGGGGACCTCGAGAACGGCACGCAGCAATTGTTCGCCCGTGGCTCCGAGGGTCAGATCGAGGCCCACACGGGCCCCCCAAGGAACCTGAACCACCGATTCATGCGAGACTACGTCTGGGATGCACCCTCGACTAGCTGCCGCGCAATCAGCGCAAGATCCTGCAGCACTGGCATTAAAGCCGGCAGCGACCGATCCTGCAACTGCAAGTCCCATACCTCGTAGGAGCGATGACTGCGCCAAAATTTGCGCGCGCATGTTAAAATCACCTCGCGATCAAACACGGGGGTTAAACGATCTGACTAACGCTGCGAGACGATTGCATCTGCCTAGATTGGCCCCCGCGAGCCCAAGGCATGAAAATCCATGGAAGACCACACGACAAATACTGGACAGTTTAAATGCGCGCCTGAGCGCGACGAAACCGTCGCAAGCATTGCGCGGCCGCGCCCGCAAGCCAGCACGGCGGGCCCCAGCTCACAGGCGCACCTCTCGACGCCCAGCCACGAGACGCCGTTCGCCGCCCTCGCCGGCGCGGCATGTCCGAACGGACCCCTCGCTCGCGCCCCCCATCGGTCCAATAACATCTGCGATGCGCTTCGCCCCTTGCCAACGACACCAACCCCATCCACTTTGAAAAGTCCCGCCGCCAAGATGGGCCTCCACGAACGCGATGAACTGGCGAGCCCCCCAACGCCGAACGAGGCAGAACCAAACGACGTCTCCCATGGCACCGACGCTCGCGAAGGGCGAGGAACATGCGCCACCTGGCCCTGCGCCGCCGCGCGCCACTGCATCGGCCCCAACCCTCGAAGCCCTCGCCGGCGCCGCTGGGCGAAACGCCCGTCAACGACGCCCCGGCCGAGGCTGACGCGCTAGCAGAAGATGCGATGCATGAACCACCTGCCCCTGCGCCGCAACGCGCCAGCGCCTCGGCCCCGCGCGCGGCCGACGCCGTCGCAGACGACGCCGCTGCACTGCTAGACGCGGCGCCCGTCGACGCGGCCCCAGCCGAAGTCGACGCGCAAGTAGAAGGCGCCGAGCTGGCCATCGTTCCCGCGGAGCTTGTCGCCCCCGAAATTGGCGCGAGACTTAGCGCCGGGATAGACAGATCCAGCACGAGCACGATTAGGGCACGGGGGGCAGCGCCTTCCCCCTTCGGAGGCGCAGAGGCCCAGCTGGCAGCCGCTGCCCCTGCCCTTGTCCTCCTGGGCGCCCCTCACCGGCCCATCTCGGCGCAGGTGGCGCCGCCTCCGTTGCCCGCCGCGGCGCTGGCCGCGGCCGCGGCCACCTCCCGCGTCGCCTGCGCCTCCGCGAACTTCTCCCCCGACAGCGCCGCCGCCGCCCTGGCCGCGGGGTCGACGGCTGCCTTCGCCGCAAATGCCGCCGCCATCACTGCGGGCCAGCTGACCCCCGACGCCACCAGAGCGGCCTGCGGGGGAGACGCATCTGCAGGCGCCGCCCCTGTCTGGCTCGCGGCCTTCCTTTTCTGTTCATGAATATTACCTTTCTTATTATTCCCCTTCTCATGACTACTGTTCTTCTTCGCGCGCCCCGGAATGCCTCGCGCGTCTCTCGCCTCCCCCAGGCGCTCCTCGATCAGGCCACCCCCCTCGGTGAACTGAGCTTCGCAGCCCTTCGACTCTTCCGACATCTTCAGCAACTGTCTCCTCTCGATGACCCCCGCCCCCTCGAGCGACCCCAAATCCGCAAGGGCAAACCGCCCAGCGCGAGATCGAGCGCTGCACCGCGAGCCTCCCCGCCAGCGCCCAACGCCGCGGAAGTCGCCGTTGCCTGCTGAGAAAACGTCGTCGCGAGCAACCTGCGATCCTACTCGGCTTCGACCGGGGCCGCGCCTGCGCCCTCCTCGCGCTCGACTGCCGCCGCCAAATTCTCGCGGCACTTCTGCGCCGCAGACGCTGCTCGTTCGTTCTCGAGGCCAGCGCCCCTCCATGCTCCGGATGCGCGTGTTGTCGCGCTTCCCACCGGAAAAAAAATAACAGCCCCTGTCGCCGCCGCTGGGCTCGTGGAGCCCAACTCTCTTACCGCGCCAGCCGCGGCGCCGCGCGCTTGGCGGCCGAAGATCTTCTCATAATTGCACTTCTGGCAGAAGCTCCTCTTGGAGCGCGATGGCATGTCTTCGCGCTGTTTAGCCGCCGATCTGGCTGATCAGAGGGCCAGATTGCCGGCGCGGCGCCACTCAAGCACAACGGGAACTCAGGGCTGCCAAAACACAGCATCGACCCCACATTGCTTGAGGTTCGCCGGCGGGGCGCACGGCGCGCGGCTGGCGCGAAAGTTCGGCCGCGGGCAAAGCCGCGGTCTGAGCGGGATCGCAAAGACCAAAGCGCCCCCAGAAGCATGATCGCCAATATGCGCTATGACCAGGAAGACTCGGGCCCTGGCACGGCGCAGAGGGCCCCCCGCAGGTGGAACGCGCATGCTGCCCGCATCATGGCCACGAAGGGCTTCGACGCCGAATGCCAGGACATCATATCGACGAACGCAGGGCGCACGCGCCCAGCAGCGATGAATGCAACGTCGATGGCGCGGCAAGCGAAGCAGCCGAATCCTCCGTCTGAATGCACGCCAGAACTGCAAACCCACGCCGCCAACACGATCGAAGTGGCGAGCGACAAGGCCGCTGTCGCAATCGACCCGCGGACCGGACTGAATGTGATTTCCCCAACGGCGCTTGCACTCAAGCGCTTCCTGCTCGCGCTCTGAGCAGCCGGCCTGGCGCAGCGGGGGCGGGCCGCTGCCACCCCGAGGGGCTTCGCCCACCGCGGCCATTGTCGCCTGGTCTGGACGTGGGTCTGGGCGCGGTTGTGAACGTCGCCGTCGGAGTGGGTTTGAGTAGCGGGCATTGGCCGTGGATGCGTACGCGGGCTGGGCGTGGGCCCCAGCATGGGTCCGCATGTGATCTCGCACGTGGACTTGGACATGGGCTTGAACGTGGAAGTGGAGGCGGGTTTGGCAGCGGGTTTGGACGTGCGTCTGGACGCGAGCTCGGAGTTGCGCCTGCACGAAAGTGTGGTCGCGGGTTTGGATGTTGGTCCGGACGTGGGTTGGACACGAAACACGAGGCTCTACTGTCTTTTTGTGTTTTGTCTCTCTCTCTCTCTCTCTCTCTCCCTCTCACAGTCCCGCACACATGGGTCTCCACGACAAGATCACGTGCTCCACGGACTGGGCCACACGTGGCATGGTGGCACACGGACCAAGATCCCACAGCCGTTCCACGACACGGGGTTTCCACACCTGTTGCACGGATGAACGGTTTGAGGTCCACGCGCTGGCGTGGCGGCGTGTTGGGCCCTCGCGGTTGAGCATGCCTAGGATGGCGGGCGACAGATGCACATCCTCACGCGTACGTGCCCAGTGCATGAGGCCGCAGAAACTCTCGAAGAGCCGAACTATCGGCGACCCACAGCCATGCCAAGCTGATATGTTTTGGGGGCAGCACGGCGCCGTGGGCTGTGGCGTGTTTCTTCCCATGGCAGCCAGTGTCGAATGGTGTGAGGCACGCTGCATTGGCACCAATCGAAACGCGGACTTTCTGGGTCCATCGCCGCAGACTAGGAAACCGTCAGCTGACCGGAGACGGCAGCCAGAAGAGGAGGGCCAGAGAGGCAGCACGCCGAGGAGGCACGCAGTCCACGCAGGAGAGGGATTTTGTTACAATGCCCGTGAGGGAAAAACATGCTTAACGTGGAGGCCAGGGAGCGGTGGTTTCAAAGGCCAACGGCTTACTCCCCGACCCCCGCCATCATCCATGGAGGAAGGCTGCTGCCTCTTCCTCCGAATCAAGGCCTGCCTCAAGGGATGTCTCTTGCACCCCCTGAGCCTGGCAGGAGGAGGAAAGGGATTGGAGAGGAGGAGTAGGCGGGGGAGGAGAGCGAAGTGAAGTCAAGCGAAGCGAAGCGAAGCGAAGCGAAGCGAGGCGAAGCGCGCAGGTCCGCCGGAGCGTGGCCCTTGAGGGTCTGCGCGGGGGGGCCATGGCCTTATCTCAGATGTCGTAGCACATGGTTACTTCACGATCTTGAATGTGTACTGCTGACGGGGCTCATAAGAGGAGGAGGAGGACGGACGGACGGACGGACGGACGGACGGACGGACGGACTGCGGCGGGGCCCAAAGGAGAGCTCCAAGCGAGCCCAAAGAGCAAAAAGGCTCAGAGAGCGGCCCGACCGCGGAGACCAGCCCTGGGACGGCCAAAAGGAGACACCAAGATGCCCCGTGATGACCCAAAAGTGGCCTCCTCCTCCTCCTCCTCCTCCCCTCCTCCTCCTCCTCCTCCTCCTCCTCCTCCTCCTCCTCCTCCTCCTCCTCCTCCTCCTGCCCGTCCCTCCTTCCTCCCTCCTCCCTCCTCCATCCTCCCTCCTCCCTCCTCCCTCATCCCCCCAGCCAAAGACAGCCCCAAGAAACCTCCAAGAGGCCCTAAGAAACCGAGAGGCAGGTGGACAGGCGGAGAGGAGCATGGCTTCCCTTTTGCTCGCGGCGCCGGCAGATCGTACCCGCCCGCGACCGCGCCGCGTCCTCCGAGGAGATCTTGCCCAGAACATGGGAAGCCAGCAGCCATGCACAACCGCCAGCCCTGGCCAGGCCCATCCTGGGCCATGGACGGCATCTGATCAGGACGGGCGCAGCCCGTGCTGGCAGTGGTATGTGGCTGGTGGCTTCCGAGGTCGAGCATGTCGTGCCCTTCGCCTGGAGCACCTTCGCTTATCGTTAGGTCGGGCATGTCCCCCTACGGGCGGATTTCGAGCGCAGAATAAAAAAATACCCCAAAGAACTGCAATCATATTCAAAAATTGTCCAAACATCGTCCCCCGACTATTTCGTGACAATGTTTAAATATTCCTCATGTAGAGGACACGCCCGACTTAAGCTTATCGTGTCCCTGTCTTGCTGGCGCCCTTATCGTGCCCTTCGCCTGGAGCGCCTCCGACGCCGTCACGAGCGCGGCGTTGCGCTGCCCTCCGGTACCCCCCGCCTGGTAGCCCTTCGCCTTCTCGATCAGCCTGGAGTGAGGACGGGCATATTCCCCCACAGGCGGAATGTGGAAAATAAATCATACTCAAAAAATACACCGAAAATAATCGACTAATACTTCTACTTCGAGCGCGCGGGGCTGCCCCTAGGGGTCCCCCGACGAAAAGTACCCCGGGACGGTCCTGGGACGGTCCCGGGACGGTCCCGGGACGTTCGGACGAGATGGTTTTCCGTCTGGGCGCCGCCCTCGAGGCGCTCCAGAGAGCCTCAAGAAGGGCCCAGAGGCCTTCAAGAGGCCCCCAAGACAATAGACGACGGGTACCGAGAGGCCTCCAAGAACCCTCCCAAGAGAGCCTCCAAGGGCAAAAATTGATGATTTCCCGTTGGTTGTCTCATGATTTGGGCTTCTCCGCCTTATCGGCTTACCCGCGCTGCAAAATGGCCCAAGAGGCCCCCAAGATCCCCCCAACACGGCCCAAGAGGACTCCAAGAGGGCCCCCGAACGGCTCCAGCGGGCTCCAAGATAGCCCCAGAGGCCTCCAAGATGGCCCAAGAGGCCCCCAAGACATCCCCAAGAGCGGGCCCAGACGGGGGACCCGAACGGAGCTTTCGGCCCCGAGAGGTTCCCAGGATGCCCCAAGACGCCCCCAAGAAGCTCCCAAGAGGCCCCAAGAGACCCCCAAGAGGCCGCCAAGAGGCCCCCAAGAGGCCCAAGAGGCCCCCCCAGAGGCGCAAAGAGACCCCCAAGAGGCCCCAAAGAGCGCTGGGTGGGGGGCGGCGGAATGAGCGAAGCGATTAAGTAATCGACAAATGCTCAAGAATCGTCCCCAGACTATTGTTTGACTGTTATTGAATATTCCTCCTGTAAAGGGACATGCCCGATTTAAGCCTGGAGGGGGAGGGACGAGGAGGAAGACGGAGGAGAGGGAGGCACAAGGACAGCGGATGGGGGGAGTCGGAGAAGATGGGGCGGGCGAGGGGCAGGGAGGAGGAACCGCAGGGGGAGGGGGGGAGGAGGGAGAGATGCAGAGAGGACTTGGAGAGAGGAGGAGGAGGAAAGGAGGTCGTGAGTGGGGGGTGGCTTCTAAGGTGGGAGGGCACTGGGACTCCGGGGAGACGAGAGGCAACGGTGAGACACCGAGGAACAGGAAGAAGGGAGGGAGGGAGGGAGGGGAGGGGAGGGAAGGGAAGGAGGGGAGGGAGGGAGGCAGGGGGGGACAAGGGGGGAGGGGGGAGGGAGGGGGGACGAGGGAGGGGGGGCGAGGAAAGCGGAGCATGAGCTCGAGCAGGCGGGGGAGACGGGCAGCGGCGTGCCTTCGCAGCCGCCGTGCCCTCCCAGCGCCGCGGCCCCCGGCGGCGGCAGCGCAGGCCCCACGGGTCGGAGGAGGAGGCCGCTGCCGCGGTTCTGCAGGATGCGCTCGCCGTCCGTCAGCATCCACCTGCGGGCCGAGTGGGCGAGCGCGCTCCACTGCTCGCGAGGTAACTGCTCGCAAATGGTCTGGATATACACAGCGGGGGAGCTCCGGTACATGTCATCGAAGGGAGCATATGTTTCTTGTTCTGACGCTTGCGAGGAGGCGCTTTGCGAATAGCAGAACGGGCTCGGTGACTCAGGGCGCCGGGGCTGGCTGCAAGGCTTGGGCTGCAAATGTGGGCTGCCCTGCCGGCCGTTCTCGCGGGCTGCCCCGTCGGCTGCAGCGTTAACGTTCGCTGCCGTGCTGGCTGTCTCGTTGCCTGCCTGCACCCCCCTGCTCCGACAAATGCCAGCTGGAAACATGTCCCCGAGCTCCTGCCGGAGTCCAGCTTGGCCAGCTCTTCGAGCCGCGCCCAGCCGTGGCGGCGAGACCCTCCCGAGCAGCCCGAAGACCTCCGAGCCGACGAGAACGAGCGCCGGGACCTTCGCAGAAGCCCGCTCCCGCAAGAGAGAGAGAGAGCAGCGCCACCCGCCGCCCCTGATCTCGATCCAGCCGTCGTAGCCGCGGCCCGTAGCTTCGACGACCTCGCGGGCTGGGGGGCGGGCCGCTCGGCTCTCGCCGTGCCAATCGGCGGCCCTCTCGGGAGCGAGGCGCTGGCAGCAGCGAGTGCGGCACCTGCTGTACCGGATGCCTCCCAGATGGGGTCCGAGCAGATGGGGTCAGAGGATCGCGCCGCAACGGCAGCGCGTCGGCAGTGCAGCGGCGATGCATCGGCGGTGCATCGGCGATGCCGGCGTGGAGAAAATTGGGCTCCACATCGAGCCGCACCGCCGATACATCGGCGATGCGGCGCGATCCGCCGGCCCCGTCTGCTCGAACCCCATCTGGGAGGCCTAGATATACACCACCACCACCACCACCACCGTGCCTGGCCAGGGCCATCCTGGGCTCTGGCACTATGTTGCGCCCACCGCACTAAAGACCACATCCCAGAAACAATTTCGAGCACCTGGAAAAGTGTCGAAAGTGTGTCGAAAGAGTGTCGAAAGAGTGTCTCCCAGGGCCCGACACGTGAAAACCCTCGAGTTTCGGTGCTTCTTTCCTGGTGCTCGAATTTCTTTCTGGCGATCAAGGCTAAAGTAGGTTGTAACATCAGAACCCTGGCATGACGCGCACGCCCTGCCAGCCGAGGCGAGCGAGGCGCCGACAGCGGCCGTGCAGGCCACGGCCAGGCGTTGCGGTGCGGCGCAGGGCGGCAGCGGCGCAGCTGCCGCTCGGCGGTGGCGGCGGCCTGCGGCCGTGACCACCACGAAGGCAGCGGCGGAAGGGCGCGAGGAGAGCAGCACCACGAGGCGGCCAGAGGGCTGGCAGAACGATGGCGGCAGAGCGATGGTGGCAGCAGGGCTGGACCTAAGCGTTTTCGTTTTGTGATTCGTTTTGCTTTGCCTGTTTGCCTGTACCTCCCTGCCAGAAAGAAAACAAAACACAGCCGAAGTCCAGCAAAACAGAGTTTAGGTCCAGCCCTGGGCGGCAGGATAGCACCACCAGACGGCCGGCAGAAGGCTGGCGAGGCGGCAGCAGAGACGGCGCGCGGCAGGAAGAGCCGCTGGGGAGCTGGCAGCACGGCGCCGGCAAATCGAGGGAGGCAGGGCAACGGCAGCAAGGGCCGGCAGCAAAACGGGGCGCCGACGACAACAACGACGAACGGCACAAAGAGCTGCGCCATGCAGCGGCAGAAGGGTCGGTAGGAGGGGTGGACTTCAGGCGCAGCGGCGGCCATCGGCAGCGGGGGCCGCGAGCCCGCGCGGAGCCTCGCCGACTTTGCGCGCGCCGAGGAGCTCGCAGGCGGCCGAGGGGCCCGCGCGCACGAAGACCATGGGCTTGAAGACCACCTGAAGAGCGGAGGCGGCAGGGGCGGAGGAGGCGGCAGCCGCAGCGGCAGCGGCAGCAGCGCGGCAGCAGCCTCACAAGGGAGCTCGGAGGACCGTGCACTACAAGACGGGAAAACATCCACACCCACCACCTGGGGACCGATGTCCTGGGCCCCCAGCGGGCGGTGGATATGGATATCGATATACAAATAGAAGAATATGGCATCGGAGATGTGTATATACATATAGATGTATCAGTAGTGGCCACAGAGGGGCCTACTAGGTCCAGATCCACCGCCTGCCAGCACCCCCGAAGATCGATCCCCCAAGCGGTGGCTATGGATAAATCCCCGCATCGGAATGCACGGCGGCTCACACCATCTGGACAAGGGCGAGCTGCAGCCCAGGACCCCAGGCTGGAGGACACACGATTGGGCGACAAGTGTACGACAACGGCGACGACTGCGACAACGACTGTGAGGTTTTTCGGCGGTCTTGGGCCTCCAGCAGCGACGGATCTGGGGGCCGATGTTCCAGCGGCGGGGACGACGATGAACACCAGAACGTCGGCGTCGGCATCGATGACGAGGATGGGCGGGCCGAGGAGGCAGAACTGAACACTGCGGCTATAGGAGCGCCTTCCCAGCAGCAATGAAACCAGAAGGCGTGCGCATTGAAACAAACAAACACGCGCGCCTTCGCGCCCTCAAGTTACAAAACAGGGCATGACCCAGCGGGTGCATGCCCCGGTGCCTCGTGAGGCTGATGTTTCGGATGTTAGCGTGTGCTTAAAACGAAACGCGCCAGGCTCGTGATACAAAACAAAACGATGTGGAGTAGAATGGCGGTCTTAATTGCGCAAGCAGCGGCCTGGCGCGTGACTCGACCGAGCAAGAAGGGCGCACTGCTGCCGCGACGGCGGTCGCAAGGCGGGACACTAACCTAACAGCTCCGACACGGCCGGGCCCTGAGATCAGACGTCGCTCAAAACCATCAGCTCTCTGGGCGGAGGTGGTGTAGAGAAAATCCTCTTTCAACCCCCCCTCTTCCCTTCTGAGAGGGTGCATCATTCGTCCTTCTTAGTGAGGACACCCTCCCCGACCCAGCAGGTGACATATCCAGGACCATGCGGGCCCCCACCCACCATCTCTATCGAAAAACAACGCGAAGTACACGCTGCGACACAATATTTGGTCATGTTTGGGGGGGCGAGAACTTGGTTTTTCGACGGTGACAAAGGGTGCCAGCATATGGTCTGCTGCGCGCAGGGCCACCATCCCTGTCAAAACACCATAGAGCAGCACTTCGGGGCTTGACCAGGATCATGCGCGGGCACCCCGCGAAAACGTTGCATAGGTTGTTTAACAGGGGCGGCGTGGATGCTGGCAGATTGCCTGCTGTGCGCAGGCCCAGACATCATGATGAACCCCCGCCGCGATTGTCCATCGGTTTTCGACAAGGGTCGCGGGGGCCGACATGTTTCCCGATGTGCGCGGGCGCACCTGGCACACTCTGCACGTGCCCCCAACGTGGCGCTCCTGGCGCGGCTGGACCATGCGGCACACCTGGCGCACGCGTAGCACGTGACGCACCTGGCGCTCCAGGCGTGCCTGGTACGCTTGGGTTCTAGGAGCGCCTGGCGCGCGTGGCGCGCCTGGCACGAGCGGCGCACCTCACCCCAGCATCGCGCGCATGGGGCCAAATGTGGTTCCCAATAGCTGTCCATCCAAAGACGACCGCTGAACATGCTCAGGCTCGGGTGATACCTATGTGTGGAGAGGGCGGGTGGGAGTGAGCTAGACGGCTTGGTATCTAGGGGGTGGCTTGACCTCTCACCCATACCCCCTGCCCCTGGGTCTGGAAGGGAGCTGTGGGGAGGTGCTAGAGCGTCCACGATGGACCAAGATGGTTCCAAGAGAGCCTCGGAAACCCCAAAGTGTCTTCCAAGATAGTTCCAAAATAGCGCAAGATCGCTCAAGATGGCTCCCGACATACTCCAAGTGGCTCCAAGACGGGTCCAAGAATGACTGGGGCCTCCCGAGGTCTCCCAGAAGCCAAGAACCTTCAAACAGCGAAAAACAGTGAAAACGTTAGCCTTCTCGCCCTTTTGCTTTCGATAGCCTTCCGAGGTCTGAAGATGGCTCCAAGGGGCCCCAAGAGACCCAACAAAGGCACATAAACCCCAAGATAATCCCAAGAGCGCCCCAAGAGGCGACTTCTGGAGCCCCAGGGGGGCGATGCTAATTAAGACCCCCGCCCTTCTTTGATCCATGTCCTACAGGATGGCACCCGGGGCTCCCAAGGGAGCTTCAAAAATGCCCCAAGAGACTCCACAGCTCCCAAAATGGGCCCAGGGCGGCCTCAAGAACCACCAGGAGCGCCCAAAAAGCGCACCCAAGAGGGTTCCAAAAGGAGACGTGTCGAGCCCAAGAGGGGCGACCCTAATCCGCGACACCACATCCTCCTCCTCCTCCTCCTCCTCCTCCTCCTCCTCCTCCTCCTCCTCCTCCTCCTCCTCCTCCTCCTCCACCACCTCCTCCTACCTCTCCTCCTTTTCCTCCTCCCCCTCCTCCTCCTCCTGATCCTCCTCCTCATCCACCTCCTCCCCCCCTCCTTCTCACCTAGAATTCGAAAGGGATTGAATAAGAGCGTGTTCCATCAAACTGCTCTGCCGTGTGTTCGCCTTCCTCCTCCTCCTCCTCCTCCTCCTCCTCTCCCTCCCTCCTCCTCCTCCTCCTCCTCCTCCTCCTCCTCCTATTCATAATCCTCCTCCTCCTCCTCCTCCTCCTCCTCATCATCATCATCATCATCAGCATCATCATCATCAGCATCATCACCATCAGCAGCATCAGGATCACCATCGCAATCACCATCACCATCACACAAATCGTTGTCTTCATCATCACCATCATCAACAACATAATCAGATTCAGCAGCATCATCGTCATAAATCGTCAGCACCAGCAGCATCATCATATTCATCATAATCAGCATCATCAGCAGCATCAGCATCATCATCAACATCAGCATCATCATCATAATCATCAACAACAGCAGCATCCCCAGCGCCAGCATCATCATCATAACTACTAAATTATTCGAACCACCATCATCAACACCAGCAGCATCACCATGCTCATCATCGAATCGCCATCGTATTCACCAGCATCATCCTCATTATCACCATCAGCATGAATATCTGCATCATCAGCATCAGCATAACCATCATCATCATTAGCCGCCTCAGCATCACCGTCATCATCCTCATTATCCTCATCATACCTGCACCATCACCATCACCAGCACTATCACCATTATCACCGACATCGTCATCATCATCAGCGCCGTCATCATCATCAGCAGCATAACCAACATCATCACCAGCATCAACATCATCTTTGCCATCGCCCCTCCTGCTTCATCCTCCTCTTCCTCTTGCTCCCCCTCTCCCCCCGCCTCATCCTTGTCATCCGACCTGGCTGCTGGGTTGGCGGCAGCTGCGAACGTGATGCCGTGCCTCCCGGCAGCGCGGCTGAATCCCTTGGCCTCTGCATTCCCCATGCCACGCTCGATGTTCCGCCGAGCCCTCGTCGCCCCGCCTGCCCCGCCGAGTGTGAAAAACCGACTCCCGGGCGCGGCGCCTGGCGCGCGACCTCGACGGCGGGGGGCCCTTTGAGCTTGACTGCCGCGGCCACTGCGTGAGCGTCGGCCGCCGTCGCGCGCGCGATGGCAGATACTGTCGGGGCGTTGACCTAAGGAACCCTAAACAAGGAACGAGGCCCCTTTTCCCCCATAAGTTACACTTCGATATCCCATGAAGGGGAGAACTGTAGAACAATCAAGGAACACCGAGCCCCTTCCCAACGACAAGGGTTCCTTCTTCAGCGCCCCGACTGTATTTCGGCCAGCTCCAGCCCGACCTTGGCACGTCCACGCCCCGCCTTCACAACTCCACATGTGAAATTGGCCCCGGCGGCTCGACGCGGGTCTGTAATCTTTTCACGCGCATCATGCACCCACGCGCGATGGGCCATCAACACGGCGGCCGCAATTACCGCCCGCGCGACAAGGTGGACGAGGATTTCAGCCAAGCTTTAAACCCCCGCGGAGCACTTGGATGGCCGACAGGCAAGGCCCGAAAGAATTGCGCACAGCGCCCTCCTGGGAGAGCGTCCGAAGAGCCGCGCACTGCGGAAATTCCAGATACGAGATGACAGGTGACTGGCGGAAGCTCGAGACGCAAGGCTGCCTCAGTGAGTGGCAACCATGGCGCGGCATCGCAAAATTGTCGAACATCCAATAATCCTTGCCCAAGATGCACGCGTAGCGAATACGCCATTTCTTCATCAATAGCACGGAGATACGCCTCACGGAGGCAGGATCCCCCAGCAACTGCAGCGCCCCAAACCTGGGCCTGTTCCGAGCTCCATTGTCTCCCCAGGGGCTCGCGCACATGTGGCCATAATCTGCCCATCATAGAATTCGCCCTAATTCCGCGGTCGCCTTGAAACTTCCTGAGAGGCAGGTTGGCCACGACGAGCTGGGCCTGCATGGGCCGCGCATCGCGGCGACGGCCTCCGGCGGGGGACCCCGGTAGTCAACGGGGCCCTGGGCGCCCACCCCCAGGCCCGCCTTTGCCTCCATGGCTTGTTGAATGCCGCTGCTGTGCGACCCATCATTGGCCGCGGGCTGGACTGGAGCGCGGGGCCCAACTTCCAGCTCCCGCGGCGGCGTGGGGCTCTGCTTCAACGACTCGTGGAGCACGCCCACTGCCTCGGCCCGTGGCAAAGACCTTCGAAACATTGACAGATTCGCACGCTGCGGCCCGCTGGGCACGAACTGCCACCCCGTTCGCCGCAGACGCGCAGTTCTCTGGACACGGCGCTGCAAGCCGCACCGAGTCCGCCAACGCTGCCAGCCACTGTTCCCATGGAGCATCACGAACTGCAGTGAGAAGAGAGCGATCTCGATCTGGTCTCGAGGCGCTGAGAGCTGGGCACGCCACGGCACGCCCCCGCTGCTGCCCCGGCCCGTTGCCCCTGAAAAGGTGTCGATGTACTCCTGCCAGCGCCGCGGGGGCTCGGGCCCGCCCTTTACTTCTGTGGTCCTGATGGGCCAGCTGTCGGACGTGGACCGCCTCCCTCGTGAGCCCCCAGCCGCGCGCGCGGCCCCCAGGGGCGGGGCGGGGGGGGTCAGGGCCACGACGCGCGCGGCGCGCCTTCCCACGCGCAGTCGCCCGCGCAGCGCACTCTCTGGCAAGGAGCGCGCCGCGAGCAGGCTCAAACGAAAATGCGACGGATGACGAGAGGACGGGGGAGTCAGCACCCGCCTGGAAATCCGCCCGCCACCGAGCTTCGGACCGCGCCACAGCGGGGATTTCAGACGCGGGGCCAGGGGCACCACCGAGCTGATAGACAGAAGGGACATCCTGCTGGGAGGGGCCAGGGCGAAGTTGAGACTCTAAAAGGCCACTTGAAAACGCACCGTTGGATCGACGCCCGCGCGACTCGAACTGGGGCGCTCCTCAACTGCATCCAATGCGCCGCCCGCGCCCGAACTGACCGGCGCCGCCTTCTTACCGGCGCCCAGCTGCGGAGTCAGAACGCAACGCGCAGCTCGCGCGCCCGCGGGCCCACCCCCCTGAGGAAACCCCAAAAAACTAAAATCAAGATCAGCGGCGGGAACCCCCGGGCCGGCTCGCCCCGGAAGGGCCAGGGCGCCCCGGCGCGCCCCCGAAGGGCCCCCGGCACCCCTCGACTCTCCAAGCGCGGGCCCCCAAGCGCTCAACGGGCACGACGGGCCTGGCTGAAGGGGCCCTGGGACACCAATAAATACACAAATAAGAGGTTTCCCCATCTATTTTCCCATATGTTCTGGTCGTTTATCTTCCACACCACTTCCCAGATTTTCCCATATGTTCTGGGGGATCGACGATTAATTGCGTCTGTGTGCTTTTTTCCCTCCTGACTGGCCCGGCGGAACTCGGACCCGGGAATGGGCGGCCTCGGGGGCCGGGGCGACCTCGGCGGCCCAGCATAGGAATAGGGATATGCCCCAGGCCGGCAACAACAGGCACGACGGGCCTGGCCCGGCGGAACCTGGACCCAGGAAGGGGCCCTCGCGCGGGCCTCGGGAGCCGGGGCAGCCTCGGCGGCCCAGCGAGCTCACGGCCCCGACGAGCGCGCCCCGTGGCTCCGAGAGAAAGCGCCCCCCCGACACGGGGCCCCCACGCCGCGCCGCGGGATCCCCGCGGAACTTTCCGCGGGAGAGATTCTGCCGCTGGGCCCACGAGAGCGCGGTGGATCACGGCGCGCGGCCCCTCCGCGCGAGGCACGCGCCCCCTCGACCCCCATCGGGCGCGCGGGTCGAGCCGCCCGCTGCCTCGAAGAAGGCCGCGCGCCGCTGCTTCGCGGGCGCCGCGTTGGAGTCGCCGGCGACTGGCCACGGCGCCCCAGGACAACAAGAGGGGGCCGCCCAGCCTGTTGAACCCCTCGACGCCCCCCGCCGCCACCTCGACGGAAGGGCGCGAGAAACGGGCCACAAAGACAGTCGCGAAACTCTGCCGGTGCAAGACCATTGGGCAGGAGCCGTTGCAGGCCGACTGCTTCGGGGCCTCCAGGTAATAGGTGGCTGCGCGAGCTTCCAGGAATTGCTGCGTCTGAAGATGCGTGCGAAACAAGGGCGCTGCGCCTCCCCGGCCAGACCTGGGCCTCCTCGGCAACCGAGACGGCATGCGAGGAGCGGTGGGCCGAAGTCATGCTCATACGTAAAGTTGAGACTTCTAGCAAACTTCCCCAACTTCCTAATCCTCGACCCCTGGAGCTCGCGAGCCCCTATCAGGGCCCAACGGTCGCATGCTGCAAGATTCTCCTCCATATACCCCCACACTTTGTGCGCCAGACAGGCAACGCTGAAATGGACAAGCTTAGAACAGAATGCATATTCACCGCTGCCTGCCTCCTCGGCACAGCGGGCCTGAAGGGCCCCCGGTCGACGCCGCAAGCGTTGTGCGTGGACGCGACCGGCGGATGCCGCGTCCTTGCCCTGCGCCTTCGCGGCATCGAGCTTCGCCTTGGTTCTCGCCTCGAACAGGCATCTGACCTCCTCCGGGATCGCCTGTATTTTGTCCGCTGCTTGTCCTCGGGGTTCTCCTCCGAGGGCTTGGCGTCCTGCGACTGCTCCGCTGCCGCGGTAGCCTTGGTCTTCTCTTGCTGGGGCGAGCTGGCGGCCCGCTGTGCAGAGTCATCGGTGGCGCGCCTCTTCTTCTGCCGGCGATCGGTGACGTCGCGCCTGTGTCCAACAGCCTGCTGGAGCCAGCGTTTGGTTTCCTCCTTGCGGCAGTGGCAAGTGTTGCGGACCTCTTCCAGCTGCTTCTGGATGTTGGTCAGCGTTTCTTTCCCCGACGGTTCGCACTCCATGGAATCCAGCTCATGGAAACATGTCTCATCCCACTCAATCGTGAACGACCTGCCCGAGCACCCTGAGCCACTATCCACGCTCTGGGCATAACCCTTCGGCCTCGGCGCATGCCCTCGCAGCCGTGCGTTTGGCCTCGAAGGCCTCCACCAGCTGCTTCGCCAGGTGTTTCTCCTTCTCCCCCGCCACTGCCAGGCTGTTCCGGAGGCCAACCACGTCACTCACTGTTTGGTCATGTACGTGTTCAGCATGATTGGCTGCCCCCCCCCCCGCCTTGTTCAGCGCACCGACAGGTGAAAACGAAGTAGACGAGGGAGTTGCCGCTGCCAGCAGAGGCAGCTGTGGTGCTGAGCATATTCTGGAAGGCGGTGTCGTGGGCCAGCTCGGCCGCCTGCTGGTGGAGGAGCCGTCTGGCCTGGACGTCGCCGCCGCTGCCCTTACCCCCCCACCCTGCTGCGGCCGCCGCGCTCGCGCCCCGCGGGGAGGCGCTGCGGCTGCCACCTCGGAGGACCCGAGGGGCATGTGGCAGCGGGAGGGCACCATCTTCATCTCCACTGAATCGTGAAACTCGTCATTGTCATGGTCCTAGCTAAAGCGCATGCTCCTTGAAGCAAGGCTGTACACGGAGACCTTGGCGCCGCACTTCGGGCACTTCAGGCCACCACTCTGCAACTTGGAGATCCATTCACAACGCTGACAACGCTGGCACAATTCACACCAGGTCCGAAGTCTTGCCATCCGTCTGTTAGTCATTGCTCCTTCTGCCTGGCACGAGAGGGGGCAGTGTCCCTCAAGCGCGTCGCGGACGCCTGCGGGACTCTGGGCGAGAGGCGGTTCAGACAGAAACCTGGGCCCGCTGGAGCCCTGCCTCAGCCAGAGTTGCTTGAGTTGAGAAAGAAGGAAGGGAGACTGAGGGCAAAAGGGATGGAGGGGCAGGACAAAAAGGAAGAAGGAGGGAGAGGAGGGAGGAGAGGTAGGAGAAAGGTGGGGAGGGGAGGACGAAAAGGAGGGGGAGGAAGAAGTGGATGCGAGGAGGAGCAGAAGGAGGACTTGGGGAAGGCGAGGAGAAAAGGAGAGGGAGATGTGGAGAAGACGCGGAGGGGGAGGGGGGAAGAAAGTGAAGGAGGGGAAGGAGTTGGACAAGGAGAGTAAGGAGCAGGAGGACGAGGCGGAGGAAGTCCAGTGGGAGACCCCCCCTGGGAAGCCCCGCCTCGTACCGCTGGTGCACTGGCTCGTCTGGAGCAAGCCTCGGTAAGCAGCGCGCCGCATCCATCCCTCCTCCTCCACCTCCTCCTCTTCCTCCTCCTCCTCCACCTCCTCCTCCTCCTTCTCCTCCTCCTCCTCCTCCTCCTCCCCCTCCTCCTCCTCCTCCTCCTCCCCCTCCTCCTCCTCCTCTCTCTCCTCCTCCTCCTCCTCCTCCTCCTCCCCCTCCTCCTCCTCTTCCCCTCCTTCTCCTCTTCCTCCCTCCTCCTCCTCCTCCTCCTCCCTCCTCCTCCTCCTCCTCCTCCTCCTCCTCCTCCTCCTCCTCCTCCCTCCTCCTCCTCCTCCGCTTCCTTCTCTCCTCCTCCTCCTCCTCCTCCTCCCTCCCCCTCCTCCCCCTCCTCCTCCTCCTCCTCCTCCTCCTCCTCCTCATCCTCCTCCTCCTCATCCTCCATTCCTTCTCCTTGTAAATAACCGGTCGCATCCCGAGGCAAGTGTTCAGGGCGGGCTGAGCGTTTCGCCTGAGATTTCCTCACTACTGATGACCCTGAAGCTGAAAAATTGACAATATTTTCCTAAATGGAGGGCGGGCCGTTTTCAAAATGTGGCCTTCGCATTAACACCGCGCACACTCGTTTTCAAAATGTGCAAGAGCTTCACGGATTGAGGGCGGGTGGCGTTCAAAAAGTGGCTCTCGCCTTAGCGCCGCGCACACTTGTTCTCACAACTTGCAAGAGTTTCACAGATTCAGGGCGGGTGGTTTTCAAAATGTGGTTCTCGCCGTGGCGCCGCGCACATTCGTTTTAAAGAGTTACAACCAGAGCTTCACGGATTGAGGGCGGGTCGCTTTCGAAATGTGATTTTCGCCTTAGCGCCGCGCATATTCATTTTCAAAAGTTGCAAGGGCTTCACGGATTCAGGGCGGGTCGTTTTCAAAATGTGGCTCTCGCCTTAGCGCCACAATGGTTCTCACGATGTGCAAGAGCTTCACGGATTCGGGGCGGGTGGTTTTCAAAATGTTGCTCTCGTCTTAGCGCCGCGCACATTCGCTTTAAACATTTGCAACAAGACCTTCAAAGATTGAAAATGTGGCTCTCGCCTGAGCGCCGCGCATCTTTGTTATCACATGTTGCAAGGGCTCCTCGAAATCAAGGCGGGTGGTTTTCAAAATTTGACTCTCGCCTTCCCGCCACGCACGCTCGTTTTTTAAATGCAAGAGCTTCACGGATTGAGGGCGGGTCGTTTTCAAAATGCGGCTCTCGCCTTAGCGCCGCACATTCGTATAAAAAGCAAGAGTTTCACGGATCGAGGGCGGGTCGTTTTTCAACATGTGGCTCTCGCCGTAGCGCCGCGCACATTCGTTTTACGTGAAATTTGCAAAATGTTCACGGGTTGAAAGCAGTTCCCTTCAGAATGTGGTTCTCGCCGTGGCGCCGCGCACATTCTTGACAAAAAATTACAAGTGTTTCACGGATTCCCATGATCGACGTACCATAAATTGTGCTTTGGAAGGATTCACGGTTCTGAGGGCGCAACAATTAAGATGATTCGCGGAATTGAGGTCCCAGATATGGCGGTTTGGCACGATTCATAATCGTCAAGACGCAACAGTCATTCTCATCCGTGGCGTTGGAATACCGAGAATAATGCTTTGGCATGCTTCACGGTTTTCAAACGGCTGTCTTCCAACGAGGCAGGTCCCTCTGTGGAAATGAACCTTTGTAGGGGCCTGTGAAGAGGGAGCTTGGGGAGAGGGTTTCTTTCGACATCGTTGGTGGCTATTGGGTTTACACTGGTCCTCCTCCTCCTCATCCTCCTCCTCCTAGCCACTTCGCCTCGTCCCCCGTATCCAGCTCCTCCTCCTGCTCCTCCTCCTCCTCCTCCTCCTCCTCCTGCTACTCCTCCTCCTGCTCCTCCTCCTCCTCATTCTCCTCCTCCTGCCACATTCCTTTTCCTTATGGATCAGTAGTACGGTCGCACCCCTCGACGTATCGGTGGGGCGGGCCGGGCGTTTCGCTTGAGCCTTCCCCACCACGTACGACCGTGAAGCGTGACACGTGTTTGCTGCAGCTGCGCGGACGGAGAGCGGGGCCGTTCTCAAGGTAGGAAAGGACATCGCTGTCGATCGGGGCGCTATCGTCCTAAAAACGCGCAACAGCAGGGCTGAACCTAAACGGTGTTTGTCGTTTTCGCCTTGTTTTCGTTTTCCCTCGTTTTGTCTTCAATCCGCCTGCACCGCAAAAGATAATCGAAACACAAACGGCCCACGAAATCGCCAAAGCACTGTTTAGGTCCAGCCCTGCGCAACAGGTACATGCATGGAGGGCGGCTGGTTGGCAAAAACTTGGGGTCTCGCCTTGAAGATCCTCGCGCTTCATCTTAAAAGCTGGCGACAGCCGCACGGCTGAGAGGCTGTTCGTGTTCAAGCAGGGGCTCCCATGCGTGACACCCACTAATATTATGACCCGACGTTGAAACTAGCGCATCTGTTGCACGCGTTCAGGGCCGCTGGGTTCTCGCGTGAGGCGCCGTGGACTTCAGTGAAGAGAACTCTGCAAATGTACAACACTTGCAAGGCTACCGTTTGTCTTATGACTCGGAATCCGTCTAGCTGGAAGGACGGGAGGTGGATCCTTTACCCACGGGGTCTCGCCTCGGCGGTGGACAAGCCTCCCTTCGGTGAACCCCCCTTCGGTGAAAACGGCCTAGAACCGAGACCGACGGACCTGGATCCGCAAACAGGACGGCCGCGACGCCATCTCGCGAAGCGAAGACGGCCAATTCGCCAATCGACGCGCCAGGGCAGGCTCGCCATCGCTCGGACGTCCATTCCATGTGTTCTTTTCGGTTTCGTGCGTGGTTTTTTCGCCAGATGACCAAGGATGCTCCTCGATGGTCCTCGCCGAGGGAAAAAAACGCACACGTCCGAGCGATGCCAAGCCTCTCGCGAACCGAAGACGGCCAGCTCGCTACTCGGCGCGCCAGGGCAGGAGGCCGATGACCGCCCTCGAGGTCGCACGAAGCGGCAGGCCCCCGGGGCGGCGCCCGCAGAGGACAGGAAGGTCTTCCAGGGACCCTGCGGCGAAGGGGCACCCGGGCGGGAAGGTGCACTGCAGCATCGTGGAGGCAGCTCGGGCGTGCTCTCCTCCCTCCTCTCCCTCCTCCTCTCCTCCCTCCTCCCCTTCCCTCCTCCCTCCTCCTCTCCTCCCTCCTCCTCTCCCTCCTCCCTCCTCCCTCCTCCCTGCCTCCTCCCTCCTCCCTCCTCCCCTTCCCTCCTCCCTCCCTCCTCCCTCCTCCCTCCTCCCTCCTTCTCTCCGCCCCCTCCCTCCTCCCTCATCCCCGTTCCCTCCCCCTCCTTCCCACCTCCCTCGTTGCCCCCCCTGCAAGAGGAGGAGCCAAAAAAAACATTGGGCCAAGCGGTGGAGCCTCCTCTGGGGATCACCTGCGTCTTGGTCCTCGCTGTCCGCGCCGCCGCCACCGCTGTGATCCTCGTCGTCGTTATCGTCCTCGACGACGCCGTCGTCGCCCTCGTCGTCCGCGTCCTCGTCCTGCGTGTCGATGTCATCGTTGTCGTTTCGATTATCCGTTTCCTTCGACATTTGGGCCGATCGCACCGAGCTTTTGAGACTGACCTCGATGTAGGAGTCGTCGTCGTCGTCGTCGTCGTCGATCCCGTCCGCGTCCTGCGGCTCGGAATCAACGCCAAGACCTGTCTGGGGGGGATCGCTCTAGCGAGACTATGTCAACCGATAGCGGCGAGGACGCTCCAGGAAACCCTCAAAAAATTGAGAACATCATCGATATCGTTCTACTGGTCGTCGCCGTCGTCGTCCTCTTCGGCGTCGCCGCCGTCGTCGTTCTCTTCGTCCTTTTCGTCGCCGGCGTCGCCGCCGTCGTTATCTTCGTCCTCTTCGTCGTCGCCGCCGTCGTCCTCGTCGTTCTCTTCGTCCTCTTCGTCGTCGCTGTCATCATCGTCGTCGCCATTGTCGTCCCCGTCCTTCCCGAGTCCGCATAAAATCTGTCCCTGGAACCCTCCAGGGGTCTATCCTGACCAGGCTTCCGAGCCGCGTCCAGCCGTGAGGACGAAAACCTCCAGAAACGTGCGAACAGCACACGAAACGGAAACGTCGGCGTCGTCCTGGTCGTCGTCGGCGGCAGCGGCGGCGGCGGCGCCGCCGCCGCCGCCTCCGCCGCCGCAATCGTTGTCAGCGTTGTCCCCGCCCTTTTCCTCGTCCTAGTATTCGCCCTCGTCTAGACGAGCGCGTCCCACTACTCGCAAAGTAACTACTCACAAATG